GAAAACTGGCAACAAAAAAAAAGAAAGATTGTTGACTAAAGAACTGATAATTATGTTGATCTTCAATGAAAACTTTACATATTGTTCTGTCGGTTTTTCCTTTTTTTTTTTCCTTCTCCACCCCATTAGTTTCTTTCTTTTTTTTTTTTTTTTGTTGTTGTCATCCCTAAAAATTTTTTTTTTTCTACAAAACAAAGAAGAAATACTTCAAAAAAAAAAAAATTAGTCTTACAGGAAACAATGGCGGCAATAAATAGCAGCAATGCAGAGCTGTGTTGCTTTTTATACAGCTGTTTTGTCGACCAGTGGGGAAACAACGTTATTGATTCTTCAAAAAAAAAAAACTTGTATTTGGTTTTGGTTTTTTTCTTTTTTTTGTTTTGTTAGCAAATGATTAGCAATAGATGAGAATATTGATAGATGAATAAATTTTTTTTTCCCACTTTATGTATTTTAATATGCAAATATCAGTTAAAACTGATAAACTTTTTTTTTTTTGGCATTAAAGTTACAGATAGTTTTTCTTGATGATCTTTTTTTTTTCGCGTATTAAATTGAAACTATTACACTGCCAATGGATTTGACATTACTTCTAATTAATCTAATCCGATTCTTCAGCGACATTTTAAAAAAGCTGAACACTAAAGTTGTTATACTGTTTCGAAAAAAAACTTTATTCTTTAAACTTACTTTTACCTCAAGATTACATATTGAATGCAGTACTGATTGTTTATTTCAGAACGTATATGAACTAAACTATGAAAAAATTTGCATTTTAGAAACAGCTACAGCTGACACTTTTTTAGACATTCTAGATGGCTCAAAATAGAGTGGGAACCGGCTATACTACGAATTGGATTGCCATCTCAACTCTTATAGTGTTAATTTTTACAATAGCAACCGATGCTAAACGTAAGTTCTTTCTTGCACTGTTTTTTTTTTTCAAGTTTTTATCACTAAGCTTTGATGTTGTTGAACGATATAGCTACAATCTTGATTTATTTATTCTCCAAATAAGAACAACAAAAATAAATAAATCAGCAAGTTTTATAGTTTAAATTCTGTTATGTGTCTGTTTATGTGTTAAATGTCGTATGGGAACCATATTAGAAGTTTTCACAGAAAAACCGTCGCAGCAAAAAACATTGAATTCAGTGATATAGCAAAAAAAAAAAAACTGAGACTGATCTATATGTAAGAATAAAGCCAAAATTGGCGAAAAGCAAAAATCCAACAACATTTTTTAAATGTTACTGTTATTATCATTACTATTAATTATTTTTTTTTATTACCATTCACTATTATTACTGGTTATTGCTAATTAGAAATGTAAATTATGCTATCAATATTTCCACTGTTGAATGATATGGATAGGTTGTTGAAGTGAAGACAATGTTCAGTATCAATGTAAAACTGTGGATCGATGAAGGTAAAAACCTTCAATTTTGTGGTTTATGATGGTTTGGTAAAAAGTAAAGTGTTTTGCAAATTTGAAACTTGATTGAGGTTAACAATGCAGTAACATTTAGATTGGTGATGTCTAAATTTATTTACATCGTTGTTATAGACAACCAAAAATGGTTCTGAACAAGCAAAAAACAAAATTTAGAATTTGACATTGTCAAAATATAACTTAGATTATAATTATTTGTTGTAAAGTTTTTTTTTTTCTAATCAAACAATTTCCTGACAATTACGTTCCCAGTTTATTCTGAAAAACTTGAAAATACATAAACTGCAATGAGTTTTTCACTGAGACAACTGTTTAGTGTTTTGGTTTTTTAAGTGCACACAGTATTTTGCTGAAATTTGTTTAAAGTTATCTATTTTGGGGAAAAAACTGACTGAAATGATTAAAATTAAACATTATTAAGTAAACAAGAAAAATGTTTAGTTTTTTTTTTTTTTCATTTTTGGCGAATTTAGTGGGAAGGAACTGAGTATATGAAAGAGGAGGGTTATGTAAAACTGTTTTATTGAACTTGACATAATTGCAATTAGTTTTGGAGTTCATCAGCAACCTATAGTTTACACAATTACCACCGTCTTTTTTTTTTTACACCTAACAAATTTTAGTACTTATCGAGTAAGGAAACAAAAAGTCTATAAGCTTTTTGCTTCTAAAATTTAATGCAGTCTTAGCCAAAGTACCGTTTTCTTGATATTTGTTATTATGTTTTAAAATAACTTTCAAATTTATTTCTTTGTATAAATTACTGAAATTAGCAATTAAAATCTGTCAGAAACAATACTGTAATGTTATGTAATTTTATTGGCTATGAGTAACTGAAGATAATAGTTTACATCTTTAGATTATTCAACAAGAAAATCTACGATAAAAGATAGCTCATAGCTGAAGAGAAACACTCTCTGGCGGAACTGTAACACTGAGCAAAAGCGAATTGATTTTATCAACTGCAATTAAGGGTTATTAAGTTCTAGTAAAAAAACAAAATTGAGGATTTGAAAGTTTTACTTCACAAGAAATTTATCTGCTTTAACAAAGTTTATAATTTCTACAATAGGTCTGTTGTAAAAAGTAACAACTAGAAGTCTATCGCAAAAAACTATACATTTATTTGTCTACTGTAAAGTCACTCTATTCTGTCAAAACCGCAAGTCTTTTTCTACGTAAATGAAGGACATTGTTAGTCAAATAAATGTACATTTTTTTTTTGCAACAGGTCTAAAGTTGTTATATGAAGAAACCTTATCGAACCACTTAAATAATAGACTATTTGATCGTAACTGCTCTTAAAGTTAAACTTAAGTACTCTTTCTGCTGCTTACAGAAATTTCTTG